TAAGGCGAAAAGGGCGAGGCTGATTGGTGGTTTTGGTGAGTGAGGTCAGAAGCGCTGCAAGGGAACTGAAGTTGCGTATAAACCTCCGATAAAAGTTCGAGAAACCCAGGAAGCTCTGCAGCTGCTTCAGGGTCGTGGGTAGAGGCCACTGAGCTACTGCCTGAACCTTCTGATGGTCCATCTTCAGGCCCCGGGAGGAGATGGTAAAACCCAGGAAGGAGGTGGACTCCTGGTGAAACGCACACTTCTCCAGTTTGCAGTAAAGTCCATGGTCCAGGAGGCGGGACAGAACAGCTCGAACATGCCGGATGTGCTCTTCAGCCGTGCGGGAGTAGATGAGGATGTCATCTAGATAAACAAAGACCCAGCGATCCAACATGTCTCTCAGCACATCTATAATGAACCGCTGGAAGACGGCGGGGCTGTTGTAGAGGCCAAAAGGCATCACCAGATATTCATAGTGGCCAGTGGGCGTGATAAAAGCGGTCTTCCACTCCTCACCTTCCTTAATACGGATGAGGTTGTAAGCGCTGCGCAGGTCCAGTTTAGTAAATACAGCGGCTTGTATGATGGCGTCCAGGGCGGTGCCCATGAGAGGAAGAGGGTGACGGTCCCGGATCGTTATTTTATTTAACCCTCGATAGTCAATACAGGGCCGGAGATCCCCCTCCTTCTTCTTTACAAAGAAAAACCCAGCGGCCCCGGGGGATGTTGAGGGACAGATGAATCCCTTCTGGAGGGCATCAGTTATATAATTGTCCATAGCCCGGGTCTCCGCCGGAGAGAGGGAGAACAGGCGACCCCTAGGGGTGGTGGTGCCGGGCTGGAGCCTGATCTCCAGGTCGTAGGGTCGATGAGGAGGTAACCTGGTAGTGGGTTCTTTAGCGAAGACCTGAGCGAGGTCGTGGTAATGAGGGGGGACGAGCATCAGGTCTACGTCTGTGGGAGGGGCTGCTCCAGTCCGGTGTGCAGGGGAGCCCCGGTGGCTATGGCAATCCGTGTCCCAGGCCAGGACCTTACTGGTGGACCAGGAGATGTGAGGCTCATGACAGCAGAACCAGGAATGACCCAGGATGAGTGGCGTAGCCGGAGCCTGGATGACCAGGAAGTGGAGGGTCTCCAGGTGTTGGTCAATAGTCATGTGGAGACCCTGGGTTCGGTGGGTGAGAGGGTACGGCATGATGGGCCGGCCGTCCACAGAGGTCACGGGAATGGGTCGGTCGAGGGCGGTGAGGGGTATCTTGAGCCGAGTAACCAGTCCGTGATCGATAAAACACTCCACAGCCCCAGTGTCTAAAAGTGCCTCCAGTCTGGTCGGGCCTTGGTCCAGGTGGAGGGAGACCGGGAGAGTGGTTCGGTGTGGAGCCGGAAAAGTGGAGACTCCAGGCGGGACAGCCCCTACTCCGACCCGGAGGGACCGTTTCCTGGTCGTTTTGGGCACGTGCCACGATGGTGACCCAAATCCCCACAGTAAGCGCATCTTCCCTCCTGATAGCGCCGTGCCTGTTCCTCAGGGGAAGATGTCCGAGCTGCATCGGCTCCTCCGTCGGTTGGTGAGCCGGCCGGTGGGGTGACGTCCTGGTGTGTACGGGAGCTGACATGGTGCTCGGCCGGTTCAGGATGCAGCGGTCCAGTTGGAGAGTCAGATCCACTGCCAGGTCCAGGGAGGTTGGGGCCTCATGCCCGATCATGCCCTCCCGGATTCTCGGTGACAATCCCTCCAGGTAAATGCCCTTTAGGGCGGCGTCATCCCACCTCAACCGAGCGGCTGTCGTCCGGAAGCGAGAGGTGTACTGAGGATTGCTGTAAAGTCTGGGAGCCCTGGCAGAGCTGAAGCAGCCGAGTCTCGTCCGAGACCTCCCTGCTGGGGTGCACAAAAGTCTTTTTCATCTCCTTTACAAAAGTCTCATAGTCATTGCAGGCAGGAAATTTCTGATTGTAAAGAGCCGCCGCCCATTCACCGGCTCGACCTGTCAGCAGTGAGGTCAACAGGGCGACACGAGAGCAGGATGTGGGGTAGCGAGCCGGCTGGCACTCGAAAGTCATGGCCAGGGTCGCTCGCATGCCCTCCAGGGATCCTCTGGATCCGTCCCACTTCTCTGGAAGGCTGAGGCGTGGTTCCATCCTGTCGGTGACGGCTGTGGTCTGTCATTGCAGAGCAGTGGACAGCTGGAGAACTAGCTCGGTGAGTGACTCAATCTTTGTGGCTTGGCGATCAGCTACGGCACGGAGCTGGTTCATCTCTGCCGTATGCTGATCCAAAGTTGCGCACTGTTGAGCCACTTCAACACGCAGACGCGCAAACTCCACTGGGTCAACTTGGGACTCAGTCATCCTGTCAGGTTCGTTGGCAGATCTGAAGCGTGACTGAGAGGATCTGTTGCCCAGACGCGGAGTGATGGAAATAACCAGCGTGGTTATCTCCTGAAGGTTTGGATTGAAGGTTTAGAGGGCTGGTAAGCCTGGAGACTCGATACAAAGTCTGGTGAGAACGATGACTGAGTAATGAATGAAACGCCAGCACTTCCTTAAGTAGTGTCGGCGTGATGACGTCAGCCGCCACGTTGGTGGCAGGAATGATGGGACAGAAGTCAGCGGGATGAGTTCGTGACAGCCGACATGAACGATCGTGTGTTAAATTAGTTTTTGAGGTGGCGACACCTGATTTGATAACGTTACTGTGGCCATGCACAGGACGCAGATGTCTGGAGCGTGTCAACAATCAGAGCTTTGCATGCGCAAGCTGGTCAAGGTTAGGATGGGGGTGAGGGGAAGGTTAAATTGCAAGAGGGAAACGTCACAATTTGGTTAAATGTCTGTTTTACGGCGGGTGTCAGTACCGACGCTCTGGCACAGCGCGTTGCCTCCCGACGCACAGGAGCTTGTCACCTGCTGACAGCAGGCTGCTGTCTTTTCCGTGGACAGCATCTTGCCGGTCATTATCACATGACAGCGACTAGTCGATGATAAAAAGTCACTACAGAGCGGTGAAGTCGACTAGTGACTAGTTCATACAACCCATGCTACTGCTCCCCAGAGTGTTCTGCAGCATAATCAGCACGTTCTCTTTGAACTTGATATCAAATTTTCGCCTCCTCTTCATCTCCGCACAGCTAAAGTTATTCTCACGGTCTATCACTGGCAAATCAAAAGTAAGACGGATGACACAACCACCCCCCGTAGTAGCTTGTTACCACATTCCACCCGGCCACAATAAAAAACCGGCCATTATTCACCTCCGCCGACTCCGACACCGGCCAAAATATGATACCCGGCAGTTAATTAAATACAGGCTAATATTAGAGGATTTACGGTATGCTGCTATAGGCTTAGACTGCTGGAGGATACACTGACCACTTTTCGCACTCTACTACTTTCTTCTACAATCTGCTCTTTAACTGTATTATTTTCTGCAATTTCAGCTGTTAACTTTATTTTCTCTCTAAGTGTTTTTCTCCACAGAAGAAGCTGCAATGATGTTCTGCTGAGCTGTGGTGGCCTCATGGAGGGGGCCATCGTCTAGCACACTGCTGCTAACCACTTAAACATTCTCCCTCTCCTGATAATAACATTTTGCTTTCCTTGACGTTGGATGTGCTACTACTAGTTTACCCGTTTAATTACAGATCCACTAGGATAAATATAATAAAGTTTATCTCTCACCAAATAGAATATTTACTAAGAAATCACAATATAACTATAGACACATTACTTTGTCATTGTGTGTGTGTGTGTGTGTGTGTGTGTGTGTGTCTGCTCTGTCTTCTCGATCCCCAGTGAGTTGTGGAGGATGGCTGCTTGTACTGAGCCAGGATTCTCTGGAGGTTTTGTTCCTGTTAAAAGGGAGTTTTCCTCTCCACTGTCGCTTTATGCTTGCTTAGTATGAGGATTGCTGTAAAGTCACTGACACTAAAAACTAGTTCGTGTCGAAAGGAGCCAGTTGAGGTGGTTTGGGCATCTGGTCAGGATGCCTCCTGGACGCCTCCCCGGGGAGGTGTTTCGGGCATGTCCTGCCGGCAGAAGGCCCCCGGGTCGACCCAGGACACGTTGGAGAGGTTACATCTCCAATATGGTCCGGGAACGCCTTGGGGTCCTGCCGGAGGAGCTGGTGGACAAGGCCGGGGAGAGGACGGCCTGGAGCTCCCTAATTGGGATGCTGCCCCCGCGACCCGGACCCGGATAAGCGGAGGAAGACGAAGACGAAGACGAAGTCACTGACACTAGTCAGTGACTTGATGCAATTTGCTGGGTTCCTTAGGAAACATTATTTCTGATTGGCTTAATGAACTGATCTGAATTGGAATGTTTATTATGTGAAGTGCCTTGAGACGACTCTTGTCGTGATTTGGCGCTATATAAATAAAATTGAATTGAATTGAATTCAATCCATCCCTCTATTCATCCATCCAGCCTTCTATTCAGCCATCCATCCAGCCATCCATCCATCAGTCCATCCTTCTATTGATAAATGATAAATCACCCACACTTGTCAGAGTAAGGACTCCAAAGCACTTTACACTACAGTGTATCATTCATCCATTCACACACACATTCACACACTGGATGGATGGATGGATGGCTATTCAGCCATCCACCTATGCATCCATTGTAAAGAGTCATCTCAAGGACCTTCACACAGTAAACATTCCAATACAATCCTATATAAGGAACCCAGCAGGTTGCATCGAGTCACTGACTAGTGTCAAAGTCTTTACAGCAATCCTCCTACTAAGCAAGCATGCAGCGACAGTGGAGAGGAAAACTCCCTTTTAACAGGAAGAAACCTCCTGAGAATCCTGGCTCAGTATAACCAGCCATCCACCACGACTCACTGGGGATCGAGAAGACAGAGCAGACACACACAGACACACAGACACACAGACACACACACACACACACACAAACACACACACACACACACACACACATACACACACACACACAGCTGTCATGATTTTTATTCTAACATAATTCTAAATATTTTCTCGTTTCTTTCCCAGATCTGGAATGAGATGACAGAGCTGGTCTCTTCCAGCAACAACTACTCCAGCTACCGAAAGGCTTTTAACGAGTGTCGAGGGTTTAAAACCCCCATTTTGGGCGTGCACCTGAAAGACCTGGTTGCTGTGCACGTGGTCTTTCCTGACTGGATTGGCGACAGAAACCAGGTGAACCTCGTGAAAATGCATCAGCTCTACATGACCTTCAATGAGCTGGTGTCTCTGCAGACAGCAGTGGCCCAAGTGGAACCCAACATGGATCTCATCCACCTGCTGACGGTGAGGGCGTCACCACAGGTTGCTTCTGTTTACAGAATATATCTTTATTTTCTACCTTCATTTGAATATTTTCAGCTTTCTCTTGACCTTTATTACACAGAAGATGAGATTTATGAGTTGTCACTGCTGAGGGAACCTCGAAACTCCAAATCACAGGTAGGTTTCAGGTAAAAGGTTGATCACTGATCAGTCATGCTATAAACATAACATCTTACTTGTGTCCATGTGTCCTTACAGCCAACGTCTCCAACTACCCCTACCAAGCCTTTGGCCCCACTGGACTGGGCCTCCGGGGTCACTACCAAACCAGATCCTTCTCTGGTCAAAAAGCACATCCAGAAGGTGGTGGAAGTGAGTCAGAAACATTTCCTTTTCCAAAATGACAAGCATAAGGATTAATGAATTTGTTCTGTCTTTTTGAAGTCTGTTTTTAGGAATTATGACCACGACCATGATGGTTATATTTCACAAGAGGACTTTGAGAGCATCGCGGCTAACTTTCCCTTCTTTGACTCCTTCTGTGTTTTGGACAAAGATCAGTGAGTATGGAGCTGGACGTTCCCTGGTTTTTGTTTCCTCTGCAGTCCCAGCATGACGAGGTGCATCGGTAAACACACGCTTCTCAGTCTGAGGTTCTCAAACGTGTTCAGCCTCAGAAGCAGCTGTGGCCCGTTCCAGTGGCACTGAAGTCTGAGACGTTCTCAGCAGAACAAACAAGCCACAGAAATTATTTCATTGATTTTGACTCAATAGGAAATTTTCAAGACATTTTTAGTAAATCAAGGTAAAAAGTGATGAAGCTGGCAGTAAAAAGAGAGTTTGCTGTCCTCAGATGTTGTAGCAGTCTTAATAAAACCAAGCTGAAACAAGCCCAGCATCCTGTCACATTCATAGGCATCATAAGTTTTGTTGGTCTTAAAATAAGTCAGTTTAAACCTAAAGTCTTACACCTTTTACCAGCCAGGTGATCATATCAGGTACCTACCGACCTCGCTGCAACAGACCTTCTATCATGTTGTATTCCCTCCTTTATCTTCTTATAGATGCTGTTTGTGACTTATTTTACCCATGGACAGGAAATGAACCATATAAGGGCGGTTTATTGGGTCTGATTTTAGACAAGCTTCCATTCTCCTAGCTCCTCTGTGGGGAATGGATTGAGTAGAACTTCAGAGGTTGTCAGAACCGGGACTGACTGTGACTAAAGAACCGGTTAAAACCAGAAAATTATAGATAAGAGTATCACTAAAGGACCAGAACAACCTGATAAAAATTTGCCACCAGAACTTTGTTCTCCGTGACAGTCAGAAGCTGCTACATCACCTGATCTCATCTTTTTAAAGGAACAGGTTGTAATTTTAGCTGGAGCTTTTTGAGCTGTAATAACTGTGACTCATTCAGAGTAAATGACTTTAACTCATCTCTTCCAGCTTTTATCCAGACTCTAAGATGTCCTGAGGTGTAAAATATCTGCTGTCTAATCCCTTTTTACCCTTGAAAATATTAAATATGAACTGATAATAAAACAACAATAAAAAGAGGATCTAGTTTGAAAATGAACTATTTATCATCTTTTGATGTGACATCTTTGTAATAGTCAGACATGGCTCCTATTGGGCAGCTGTGCAGGGGACGGTTCTGTTCTGGTCCTGCTGGACCTGACTGCAGCCTTTGACCCTGTTGACCATCACCTGCTACTGGAGAGGCTGAGAGACTGGGTAGGCCTATCAGGAACTGCTCTGGAGTGGTTCTCCTCTTATCTCTCTGAGTGTTCCTTCTCTGTGGCCGTCTCCAAGATTAGGTCCTCCACCACCTCCCTTACCCATGGTGTCCCACAAGGTTCTGTGCTGGGGCCTCTGCTCTTCCTCCTCTATCTGCTTCCTCTTCAGCACATCCTGAGCTCCTTTAAAGGAATATCCTACCATCTTTATGCAGATGACAGCCAACTGTACATCTCCTTTAAGCCCCATAAGATGTCTAAGCTGCAGCTGTTACACATGCTGGGAGCTTTCTACAGCTGAATGAAGATAAGACTGAGATCCTCATCTGTGCCCCACACAAGCTGGTTCCCAAAGTCAGAGACTCTCTTGGTCAGCTTGCTTCCCACACCAAACCATCTGTCAGGAATCTTGGCGTGACCTTTGACCCAGCTCACACCCTGGATTCTCATGTCAGTTCTCTTGTTTGCTCTTCCTTCTTCCATCTCAGGAACATTGCTAAGCTGAGTCCCATTCTGTCCCGCTCTGAACTTGAGACAGTTATCCACTCCTTCATCTCCTCACGCTTAGACTACTGTAACTCTCTTTTCACGTGTCTGAGCAGAACCTCCCTGAACCGTCTACAGGTGGTTCAGAATGCCTGTGCTCGGCTTCTGACCAAGTCCTCCAAATACACCCACATCACCCCGCTTCTCCTCCAGCTTCACTGGCTGCCAGTCAACTTCAGGGTTCATTTCAAGATCCTAGTTCTGGATCTTTAAATGATAAATCACCTGCACTTGTATAGCACCTTTCAGAGTAAGGACTACAAAACGCTTTACACTACAGTGTATATATATTCACACGCTGATGGTGATGAGCTACGATGTAGCCACAGCTGCCCTGGGGCACACTGACAGAGGCGAAGCTGATCTTCTAAGTCCCTACACCCCCAGCAGGTCCCTGAGTCCAGGGATCAAAGCATACTGGTTGTGCAGCACCAGGCTAAAGGTCAAAGGTGACAGATCATTTGCTGCTGTGGTCCCCAGACTCTGGACCTCTCTCCCCCTGAGCCTGAGATCAGTGGACTCCTTTAAACTCACCTGTTCAGGTTTGGTGGGACCTCCTCTTCATCACTAGCTTCTCTTCATGTTGCTGTTTCTATTGATTCTGTCTCTGTGTATTTATTTTCTTCCTTCATATTTTTTAATCAAATATTTTCTATAATTTTATAATTTTCATTTTTTCTTCATGATTTTTATATTTAGAGGTGCTACATTAAGAAATTCTCCTTCCTCTCCTCCTTCTCTGGATCTCAACTTTGAGATGATTCAGCCATTGATTCAGGCGTGTTTGAGCAAAGAAACAAAACACAGGACAGGTGCCTTTTGGTCTAGAACAGGGGTGCCCAATCCTGGCCCTGGAGGGTCAGTATCCAGCAGGTTTTAGTTTTAACCCTTTTTCAACACACCTGAATTCAATCAGCGGGTGATTAACAGGCTTCTGTAGAGCCTGATGAACTGTTGCACAGGTTATTCAACCACTTAATCAAGTGTGTTGGAGCAGAGAAACCACAAAACCTGCTGGATACTGGCCTTCCAGGACCAGGATTGGGCACCCCTGGTCTAGAAGGAGTAAACTAATGGGCCATTCCCATCTGTACCGGGTCGGCCCGGGCCGGGTAGCATAGGTTTTTTACATATCTGGGTGGCCTGGTATTTTTCTGGGCCAACCAAGGCTCATTCTCAGCCCTCTTCTCGAGGGGGTCTGCTTCAGTCTGACCAGGGCCAACACACCCACTGCTGACAACAAATGCACACCTTCCATTAGAGCAAGCCTCTGATTGGTGGGTAGAATCAGCCCACATGGGCTTAAGACAAGGATGTGTGGAATCAACCGGGCCAGGCTGGGGCCGACTGGGGCTACCCGGCCCGGGCCGACCCGGTACAGATGGGAATGGCCCATAATTCAAGGTAAATTCTCAGTTTTTTCCTCTTTTTTCCCTCAGAGATGGATTAATCAGTAAGGATGAGATGATAGCGTATTTCCTGCGGGCCAACCCACTCCTCCAGTGTAAGATGGGACGAGGCTTCCTCCACAACTTCCAGGAGATGACCTACCTGAAGCCCACCTTCTGTGAACATTGTGCTGGATTTGTGAGTTTCTCTTTGCCACTGCATGAGTGACTTTTTCCTGAATAAGTCTTGTGATGTGGTGAATAAAGTAGTCTGAAAATCTTGTTAAATACTGAAATAGGCAGCAGCGCTGTGTTGCACCTTCATGAAAGGATGATCTTAGCATCAAGTCTGTGTTCGATACTGTGTGTACTATTTATAAAAATGCTCTACAACTACAGTACTACTACTAGCAGTAATACAATGTATCTTCATGATGCTGGGATGGGGGGAGCTAGCCCCTGATTCAGCTCACAGGTCAAGGGGCAAAGCTGATAGAGTCCACACGGCTGCTTATCCAACAAGTCGTTGTGACCACGTTGACCTGTTCCCAGTAGTTGCACTTCCACACTGGTGTGAGTGCGTGGGTTGTCATGGTTATGTGTGGTCCTTGGCCACTCCCCTTTTGCACCTTTCAGCCGCACCAGTGCAGCATTGAAGTATTACCCATAATCCAATGTTTCTCTGTTGGATAGATGCATCACGTGTCTGATGAAAATACTTTTGTATATTTTAGACATGACACGCCAGCTTGTTTTAATATCGTCACCCTCGTGAAATAATGGCCTGACTTGTTTTTTCAGGTTTTTAACTAAACACTAAAAACTGAACTAAATATTTAATTTATAAATTTTATTAATTTCATTCAAAAAGATTAAGATGATGGGGTTGGGCATCGTTTGATTTTGAACGATTCTGATTCCATTTCCTCATTTCGATTCCGGTTCCTATCGATTCCTGATTCTTTGAAGACATGGCATGCTTTACATGAGCCAGCTAACCACAGGTCCTACTTGATGAAATAATCTTAACTTCAACATGAATTTTAACTCTATGAACAACAACATCACCTTCATTTAGACAAAAACATGCTTTGGAGAACAAAAGAAAAAGACTTGCAGCACAACCAGTGTGTTTGTTTCTGACCACAATCAAAGTCTGGAAGAAGCCTCTGGGATGAGAGGCTAAATGTCTCCAACATATGCAGAAACGCCCAGCTGTTTTCAGCTAAAACTCTCAGGATGATCATGTCCAGGATGACTGAGAACTACACCTCCATGCTGCAGCAGCTTCAGTCAGAACAGGAAGAGAAACTTAAATGTAGCTGCTGTCAGTAACAATCTAACAGATTTAAACATTAAAACTCTCAACAGAAATAGTTCAGAAAGGAAATAATAATAATAATAATAATAATAATAATAATAATAATAATAATAATAATAATAATGCACTGAACTTATAAAGCGCTTTTCTAGACACCCAAAGACGCTTTCACAGACACTCACATTCACACACTGCCAGTGATGGTAAGCTACTTGTAGCCACAGCCGCCCTGGGGAGGTCTGACAGAGGCGAGGCTGCCATTTGGCGCCGTCGGCCCCTCTGACCACCAAAAAATAAAAAAATATTATTATTATCATTATTATTATTAATTGTGGCAGAAGCAGGCGTGGTCCACCACAGAGAAGCTGCTCTAGCATGATGACTTTAATTATTCTACAGGTTATTGTTCAGCCTTCTGACGCGCACACACACACACACACACACACACACACACACACACACACACACACACACACACACACACACACACACACACACACACACACACACACACATACACACACACACACACACACACACACACACACACGAGTGTTGGTGAGCGGCTGCATCTGACTGCTGATGCTCCGTGTGTGTGTTTTTATTTCTGCAGTGAGACAAACTCACCTCACACCATCCAGAGTTTGTTCTTTAAAGCTTCCATTAAATCCACCGTGTTGACGTATTTAACAAGTCTCCTCTACGCTGCAGGGGTTAAAGTTTACATCACGGAGTAAAAGTTCAGCACGTTTGTTTATATCGGGGGGGGGGGGGGGGGGGGGGTAATCGGTGCTGCACACAGACAGCTGCAGTGATCAGCTCTGGAAAGCGTTGATCACAATTTGCAGATCACGTTTATTTTTCACGGAGATCGGCCGCGGATTCCTCTTCCATCGGCATTCTAGGAATCGAAAACAAAAACTTTGAACGATTCCGGGGAAAACTAACAGTTGGAACCGGTTCCAGTCGATGCTCGATGCCCAACCCTGAGGACCATTGACATATTAAAACATTTTCTCTCAGATATGCAGCATGAGAGGAATAAATGACGTGGGAAAATATTTGAACACACCTTTGTGACTAAGGCCATTTTCAAAGCTTCAACAAAGTCAACAATAAATAATTACTAACAAATAAACTGAACAGTATGTGTAGAGGTGTGGGAATCTCCTCAATTCTCCCTTCATTTTCTCTTCACTGAGTTCCTGACTTATGTCTATTAATGTGGCAAATTGTCAAAGGAGTGATGACACTCAATTGGCCTGACATGCTTCGTTGACTGGAGGTCGTTAACCTTTCTTTCCTGGATTGGCAGAGCACATGGAAACATTCTTATCCGGGCCATTGGCTCTTTTGGCACCTGTGGCAGCACCTTCCACGCAGAGTCCTCTGAGGAAGACAGTTTGAAATGGACCTCGCCATTACTGCTAAACTGAAGAGCTCACAAGTTTCAAGTTCAATTCAAGTTTATTTATATAGCGCCAAATCACAACAAGAATCGTCTCAAGGCACTTCACATAATAAAGTCATGCACAGTTGGATCCCCAGCTTTTTGCCTGGTCTGATGCTTGTGAAGTAGTCAAACCTCATCACTTCCCAGTGCGGCATGAATCCTGAAACGTAGCATTAACTTCGGCAGCTAGGTAGCGCTTCTTTCTGTCTGAAGCATGGCTTATAAAATGGCCTAAGTCACACTGTTGACATGGGCCGTTGTACTACAGGCATAAAAAACATGATCTGTTCAACTGGGGATGCAACATCACCAGAGGTAGCCAGCATCACTGCGACGTGGTTTAGGCAAAACAAAAACAAAAAAAAAAAAACACTTTTGTAAAAAAAAAAGACGTAGGCCGTTATTTTAGGAAGGTGACAATGTTAAGCTTTAATTTCTTTACAAGCAGCAAAGTAGCACAAGCAGAGACAGGGCTGGACTGGGAGGAAAAATCAGCCCGGGCATTTTGAGCCGACACCGGCCCGCCTTGCCCGACGGCCACCAGAGTCCCATTTAGGAAGTCGTGATCGATGACTCAATGCTCACTGTGCACACTTGTTTACTACAAGCCTTAGCTGCAGAGTGGGTGCTGGGACCGGGCTGTTGTCTCTTTACTCTGCAGCAAATCAACAGAACAAAAAGGAGGGAGGCACCATCTAGTGGAGCCTCCAGAATCTACATGAGTGAAACTCTCCCTGTGCTGCCCACGTCAGATGCTAAGAATATAACTTTAGTTAGAAGGTCGAGAAGATAAAAAGAAACCTGAACAAATGCAGTTAAACAGTTAAAATGGTTTGTTTAAAGAATTCTTATGTTTTTGCTTTAATGATTTGATTTTTTCACAAGTCTCAGGTTCGTGTCCTCGTGTCTGAGTCTTGGCAGAATTATTAATTTTCTTTTCTTTGTTCAATCACTCAAAAGAACAGTTTGGATTCATAACAATAACCACGTAGAGTAAAGATGTATTGAGATTTAAAACTTTAGAGGAAGAGCTGCTTTAAGAAGGTCCTGATTAGTCGTTTGGAGTCAGCAGGAACACTTGGGAGCTGGCTCGCTCTGATCACCTTGTATGATCTGATTGAGACTTTCTCGAGAGAGACCAGCCGATGTTGCAGTTAACCCTTCTTTCTCCAAACAGAAGCCATTCATAGAGCGAGCCACACGAACATCTGAATGAGGCAGAAATAAAATGAAGAGGTGGTTCAGTCCTTTTGAACTGGACTTCACAAGTTATTTTAGATGGTTTTCATTTCCAGAACTGATCTTCTGATGCTCAGCTTCACACAGTTTGTGGCCAGTGATGAGACTGTTTTCAGTGATCAGCTGTGTGACTGAACACGACTGATCATCTATCTGACTGAGAGGGTGTGCACGGATGTTCTGACAGTTTTATTTTGCTCTCATGTGCAGCTCTGGGGCATCATCAAACAGGGCTACAAGTGCAAAGGTAAGGTTTCTGGTTTCTTCTCACCAGATGGAGAGGATTATCTTCATCCTCTTGAGTTTCTTTTTCTCCTAACTACACCCCTACACCAGACGTGGGCTCCTGCTGTGATGCTGTATGTAAGACTCTTCGTCTCGTCTGCAGACTGTGGAGTTAACTGTCACAAGCAGTGCCGGGAGCTGCTGGTTCTGGCCTGCAGGAAGCTGACTCGCTCAGGTTCTCCGACCAGCGTTTCTCCAGCCAGGTTGACCCACTGCTCTCTGCCCAGCAGCCCCACCCTGCCCACCTGTAAAGGTCCTCTTCAGTTACTAAACACCTCAGACAGCATGAAGAGAACAGAACTCAGAACCACTTTTCTTTAGTTGAAGATCAGCCAGACCTAACCGCTGGTTTCATGTTGTGTTTCTCCTTTAGATGAGGACGACGTGTTTGACTTCCCAGCTGTCCCGTCAGCTGGTCCAGCTCTGGACACTCAGTCCATCACTCTGATGACTGGATCAGCCCAGAGGATCTCCGTTCGTCTGCAGAGGGCCACCAACAGCCAGGCCACGCAGACCGAGCCCCTTTGGCCAGAACTTAGCTGGGGGGTCACAGACAGCGTCTCCCACACCTTCCCTAAAACAAAATACAGGACTCACAGGAAACTGTCCAGAAATAAAGGCTTTGCCTGCTGGGAAAACCAGGCTGATGGAACGCGACATGCGATTCCCTCCCGATACAGCGAGGACTATCAGAACAGGACAATCGTCTCTGAGATGTGTGCAGAGAACAGGCCGGCGAATGTAAGGAAGGAACCGAATCGCTGCTCAGTTAGACAAAAAATACGTTTACCTCACTGAAAGATGCCCCAGCCCAAAACTAAAGTTACAGGGAAAACGTTTGACTTGTTGTGAAGCTCAGACACAACCTGTGTCAGTGTGTTCAGGGCAGCTGTGGCTACATGGTAGCTCATCGCCACCCGTGTGTAAAGGCATGAAGGATTCACCATGTAAAGCGCTTTGACTTGGAAGAGCTGCACAAATGCTATAATAACAGTATTCACGTTGAGCAAAAATGTTTTTGTGGCGACACTTAGTGGCCCAGGGTGGTACTGCACCCAGTCACTTCCACTCATGACCTGATGAGAACCTCTCTGCTCTTTCTTTCTCTGCAGGACAGCTGACTTGGCCACAGGATCAATGGCTGGTACCACCGGACCAGATGGTCTTTCACCAAAGGAACCAGAAGGCTCTTCTCACTAAAGAAGACTCTGGGATGCATGAGGATCCCCTTCAGTGAGCAGGAGTTATCTCACCCTCTCTAGATGAGCCTGGACTCGTACCTGGGATCAGTCAGGAAGGAGCTCTGTGGATCCAGAAGATCTCTACAGAAGGCTGTAGCTCAGACTTGGCGATGTCCTCGAATGTACATCAAGGCAACGTCTCGCTGAGCTGAGACTGTTGGTGGCAAATTAACATAATATATCAGAGAATTTACAAAATGTCTCGAATAGTTTGTGAGAGTTCATGATTTTCTCTCATTGGTCATAAAAAGTGTCTCGTGCTGCTGGAATCCCAGCGTGCTCTGAAGGTTTTTCACAATAAGCTTTTTCTATTTGTCTAAAAGGTCACTGAGTCATTGCAGGTGTTCAGAACTATTCTGCAACTTTTCTCAGGTTAGTTTTCATTAGTATTGAAACAACGGGACAGTTTCCACTCCTGAGTTTGGCTTAAAAAATTCAACATGGTGGCTCCTGTACACGTGACATCATGATTCATGGATTCACTTTCCTTCAGAAGCCTGAGTGTCCATCTTTACTTGTGGTGAAATTACAAACTTATTCAGACTTGTGATCATTTATTTGTGGTTTTGTCAGATGCAGAAGGGATTTAGATGCCAATTGAAGTGAAAATGTGTGAATTATCATGCAGTTTGTGTTTCCAACAAATTTGTAAACAGAAACCAATTTCTGCATTAAAAATAAAACAATGTAGTCAAAGAATGCTGGAGACTAAACATGTGTAACTGTAACTGCTGCAAAGAAAGGTAGAATAAATCTGAGATCAGATTATTGGGAATCTGCTGCCGTGTGAAAAGCTAATAATCACTGAGTGACAATTTATTATCACTTATACTAAGTTACATTTTAAAGTGCCCCTGCCTATTTTACTATTATAAAAATATACTCAGACTAATATCAGACATCCAAACTCTTCATCTGATGAACCAGCATCTTGTTCTTGACCTTCATCTTCAGAAGCTTCTATCTTGCTTTCACCAGCAGAGTTTAAGTGCACTAGCTTAGAGGACTCTGAATTGAAGCACTTTTTCTTTTTCCTGATGGCTGAGGCCAACCAAACATATACAAATACACATACATACATACATACATACATACATATGTATACACATACCGTAAATCCTCTAATACAGGCCCGGGCCTGTATTTGACTCAAGCTCATCAAGCTCCAGGCCTTTATTGGAAGGAGGGCCAGTATTAGAGGCAGGCCTCTATTTCTATTTGAGCAAAATGAACTAATGGTTCGTTGGAGTTTTTGACAATTAAAATTGCGCCCACATTTTCAAAGTTAAACACATTTCTTTTAACAACGGTAGTTTCTGCTTCAACCCTCTCCCCCCTCCCCCTGCGCAGCGGCCGCAAACTCACTGATGCGCCTGCAGCCTCTCGGAGTTCCTGCTCTAAACATTAAAATAATTATTTCATTTTTTGTTCCTCACTTCTGATTACCTTCAATGGTGTCTGTTTGTTGCAACCAGCAGGTACAAAAACTAACTTGTTTTTATTTGACTATTTTTCTGTCCTGTCTGTTTATTATCTTCCTGCATCTCCTCTCAATCCTAAAGAAAAACTGCTACCTGGGTTCATATATATTCACCTCATGAGTTACCTTTGAACTGCAGTTCTAAAAGATCTACCGACCACAAAAACAGCGGAGTGCTCGCTGCTCGCCAGCCGCATCAGTGATCGGTGCGTCACCGGATGACAAGTTGATGCGCCCCGCTCCACAGCGAAACGCATCAGGCGCAAATAAAAGACAGAAAACATCAAAGGAAATGAACCGACATGAACGATTGCGTGTTAAATAATTTGGCAACACCTGATTGTTACTGTGGCCGTGCTCAGGAGGCAGATTACCGACCGCAAAAACAGCGGAGTGCTCCCTGCTTGCCGGCCGCATCAGTGATCAGTGCGTCGGAGGACAAGGTGATGTGCCCCGCTCCACAGCAGCGAAACACATCAGGCGCAAATAAAAGACAGAAAACATTAAAGGAAATGAACCGACATGAACGATCGCGTGTCAGTACAGACGCTCTGGCAGAGCGCATTGCCCCCCCGAGCGCCGGAGCTTGTCACCTGCTGACAGCAGGCTGCTGTCTTTTCCGAGGGCTGTATCTTGCCGGTCATTATCACGTGACAGCAACTAGTCGATGACAGGCATAAAAAGTCACTATAGTGAAGTCGACTAGTTCATACAACCCCTATTGCTCCCCAGTGTTCTGCAGCGCACGGTCTCTTTGAACTTGATATCAAATTTTCGCCTCCTCTTCATCTCCGCACGGTTAAAGTTACCCTTGCGGTCTATCACTGGCAAATCAAAAGTGAGACAATGACACAACCGCCCCGTACTTGCCTGTATTAGAGGATTTACGGTACATACATACAATCCATCCATTGTCTGAACCCGCTTGTCCACGTAGGTCTGCGGGGGGGTCTGGTGCCTATCTCCAGCAGTCAATGGGCAATTAGGCGGTATACACCCTGGACAGAGTGCCAGTCAATCGCAGGGCAACACAGAGACACACAGGACAAACAATCATGCACACACACTCACACCTAGGGACAATTTAGACAGACCAATCAACCTAACAGTCATGATTTTGGACTGTGGGAGGAAGCCGGAGTACCCGGAGAGAACCCACGCATGCACAGGGAGAACATGCAAACTCCATGCAGAAAGATCCATGCAGAAAGATCCCAGGCTGGGAAGCGAACCTGTGACCTTCTTGCTGCAAGGCAACAACTCTAACCACTGTGCCACTGCACAGCCCTATGACATACAAACATATACAAATACATACATACATACATACATACATATACACATACATACATACATTTACACATTCATACATATACACATTCATACATACACACATACATACATACATACATACATACATACATAAACATACATACATATACACATACATAAACATACATACATTTACACATACATACATACATATACACATTCATACATATACACATTCATACATATACACATACATACATACATATACACATACATAAACATACATACATATACACATACATAAACATACATACATATACACATACATATACACATTCATATACACATTCATACATACACACATACACACATACATACATACATACATACATACATACATACATACATACATACATACATACACACATACACACATACACACATACATACATACATACATACATACACACATTCATACATACATACATACATATACACATACATAAACATACATACATATACACACTCATACATATACACATACATACATACATACATACATACATACATACATACATACATACATACATACATACATACAGACAGACAGACAGACAGACAGGCAGACATGTACACATACACATATATACATACATACCTACATACATGCATAAATATACACATACATACATACCTACATGCATACATAAATATACACGTACATACATACATACATACTCCATACCTAAATACCTACATACCTACATACATACATACATACATACATACATACATACATACATACATACACACATACATACATACACACATGCATACACACATACATATACACATGCATACATACACATACAGATACACATGCATAGACACATACATATAAATATGCATACATGCACATACATACATACACATATACATATACATATATACATATGTACACATATGTACACATATATACACATATACATATATACACATGCATACATACATGCATACATGCACATACATACATATATACATACAAACATACATATTTACACGCATACAGACATACACACATACATACATACATACATACATACATACATACATACATACATACATATACACATGCATACACACATACATATAAACATGCATACATGCACATACATACATACATATATACTGTAATAAAAATGAACTTGTCATCTGTTGTATAATTGCTTTATATAAGTTATTGATCACTACTGTTTGTCAATCACACTTATCATGAGGATGTAATCAAGGGTAATCATGGTAGAGCCGAACATAATGTGATCATGAGGATGTAATCAAGGTAATCATGGTGGAGGTGTGCAGCTTTTCACGCACATCAGGGAATGTATAAGGAGCAGAGGAGGGCTCAGGGGGTTAGAGCTGCTTGAAGGATTCTACCTGACGAGGTTCATGGATTACATGTGTTCAGTTCTTCACCTATCATGGATTACGTTTTCTAACTGGGGTGTTCAGCTCTCCACCCATAAGCAACGGTAAGAGAAATGTTTCATTCATGATTGATAACTTGTATGAATGCCGGTTGAATAAAGCCTTGTTGTTCATCTGATATTCAAGTTGTGTTTCATTGTTTCTGGCGTCGACTTGACAACGATCCTGACTAAATAAATATAAAGTGTAAAAAGAGACTTTGAGTCTTTTAAGGTAATTAAAATAAAATAAAACATTTTATTTTAGAACATTTTTGGCGTCACGAACAGGATCAGTCAAGCTATTCCAGCAACAATGAAGTGTTTTTGGAGAAGCAAAAAAGAGCCGAGTGCTTCTGGGGAGGGAACGCCGATTCCCGTGCCGATTCCCGGCTGGGAAACGGAGGAGTTCCGAACCATTGGTGATATGTTAAGGCAGCGCGGTGGACGCCCTGGGCCGTGGGGAGAGTTAAATGGAGTGGTCAGCCCCGCCGTGGTGCTGGACCGTTTGACGCGGATAGAAGTTAAAGAAAAAGCGCCGCTGGCAGGAGTGAGAGATATGATGTGGCTTTTTGCAGAAGCATGGAAAAAACAGGAGTTAGAATTGAGCAGTTGTAGAGAGCGAGCGGCGCAGGAGAAAATCCATGCTGAAGAAGTTGGAAAATCATGCTCAGAGTTTGAGCAGAGAGTGTGTGTGATGGGGAAAGAGCTAAAGCATGCTCAGAATGTTTTGGATAAAACGCTGACTTTTGTGTCTCGAGCGCAAAGGAAGGAAAAGAAGCGACCTCGTAGAACAGGTCCTGCTCAGATCCGGGCGTTTGTAAAGAATGTTGGTGAAGATTGGAACCCGGAGAAATGGAACGGGGATCTTTGGGGGGATGATGAGGAGGAGGAGTGGGCGATTAAACCTGACCCACCACCTCAGCCCTTGTATCCATCATTACAGGGGATAAAGATGTCAGAACAAAGACCTATTACTAGGCGTCGGCGAGAACAGCAAATTATTCCACCAATACTGGTAGATATGGTGGATGATCAGGGACGGCCGGAACTCGATGAGGCGGGTAATATAAGAAGGATGTTACAACAGCAGCCACAACCCGCCCCTAGGCTGCTAACAACGCTAGAGGATTATTCACAAGATGAGTTAAATCACATGAATGGGAAGCTGAAACAGCGCCCAGGCGAACCAACTGACTCCTGGCTTAATCGCCTTATGGAGGATGGCGCGTGTGATATAGCCATAGATGCCGGTGATGCCATGAGATTTTCAGGATTAAGTACTGATGCACAGATAAATGCTGAATACCGGGCTACAGTCCGGGCATTGCCAGCTGATGAAGATTTCAATGTGGGGGATGCATATGCTCTGGCATGTCATGTCATGTGTGTCCAAGAAGTGGTTTAGCTTTGAGGGGTCTAACCATTTTAGCTGGGGTAATAGACTCAGACTATCAAGGGGAAATAGGTGTGGTGTGTCAGCATACAGGTAAAGAACCGTTGGTACTGGAAAAAGGAGACAAGATAGCTCAGTTAGTAATCAAACG